CTCTCTCTCTCTCTCTCTCTCTCTCTCTCTCTCTCTCTCTCTCTCTCTCTCTCCAGGACCAAAAAACCCATGTGCTCTTGTCCACCATTAAACCCTCTTTCCAAACAGCCTCCATGTTTCCAGTGTCTTTCTCCCCACTTGGAACTGAACCCAGATGGGCATTTCTTCCAACAATTCAACTTCCTAGGCCAGGGGTTGGCAACCTTAAACACTCAAAGAGCCATTTGGACCCATTTCCCACAGAAAAGAAAACACTGGGAGCCACAAAAAGCTTCCTGTGACTGACAATTTCCTCAGCGGCTACAAAACTAGCATATGTAGTTGAATTAAGCGTTCCATTTTCTTCTGAAACTGTTCTTTTCTTGGACTTATCCATGGTTGCCCTACTGGGGTCGAAAAGCTGAATAAATCACATGCCTGCGAGTGTTGCACATTGGCGGTCGTGACGTACATTTTGAGCGACAGGGAGCCACAACAGAGGGATGAAAGAGCCACATGCGGCTCCGGAGCCACAGGTTGCTGACCCCTGTCTTAGGCCTCCCAGCCTGTATCTTATTGATGGGTTCTGCAGTATCGACACTGAAAGCCGCAAGGGAGATCAGCAGAGACAGAGTCTGAAAATGAATTGCCACCTGTAGGCTGGCACATCGCTACTTGCATTTCTGGGTGCTTGAATGGATGAATGTGGGAGAGATGAGAATGCGCCCGGTTTCCTCGGCGTTTTACATTTTGAGGAAGGGAGGAAGGGAGGTTCGACTTGAAGACTGATGTCAGTTTAGCAAAGGAAAAGCAGAGTGGATTCCAGGGGTGTGAACCGGTGGCTCTGACTATCCGCTGGGAGCGAACCGCTTCGCTCCGACTTTTCAGTGGGCCTTCCCACCTGCCCCTGCGCTATAGTCACCTGTATTTCCTTTGCCGAATCCCAGCTGATTGGGGCGGCAGAGTGGATTGCTGCGCCTCAGCTGTTTTCCTCGCCAGCAGTAATGCTGAAGGTGAGGTTTTGGTAAAGTGCGCACGCGCGTGCAGCACGCATCAGGTGCGAAGCGCATGCTCAGCGAACCGGTCTTTAAACCAGTAGGTTCCCACCCCCCGGTGGGTTCCCTCCAGATGTTTCAGGAGCTCCTGTCATCTCTTGCCTTGGCCATCCTGGTAGGAGCTAAGAGCAGCGGTAGTCCGAAACCTCTGGGTGGCATCAGATCTCCTGGCCTGTTGTAGCAAATAAATTACAGCGTGAAAATGTGAAGGGTGAGGGGGGTCCTGGGGCTCCCTGAGCTGCGTGGTTTCCTTGAAGATGCGTCATGACCCAAACTAGGTGACATCATCAGTGATAGAAGGGAGTAGGGTTTGTGGAGAGGAGGGTGAGGATCTGTCAATCTTTCTGTCCGTTCATCCATCCAAATAAATAGAATCTATCTACATTCAACCACCCACTCACCTATCTCTCTCTCTTTCCCTCTCTCCATCCCTTCATCCACCCATATCTATCTATCTATCTATCTATCTATCTATCTATCTATCTATCTATCTATCTATCTATCTATCTATCTATCTATCTATC